GAAAGAAAGAAAGAAAGAAAGAAAGAAAGAAAGAAAGAAAGAAAGAAAGAAAGAAAGAAAAAGAAAGAAAGAAAAAGAAAGAAAGAAAAAGAAAGAAAGAAAGAAAAAGAAAGAAAAAGAAAGAAAAAGAAAGAGAAAGAAAGAGAAAGAAAGAGAAAGAAAGAAAGAAAGAAAGAAAGAGAGAGGGAGAGAAAGGGAGAGGAGAGAAAAGAAAAAGGCAGGCGCTACGAACAATCGTCCAGGGACACACCAAAGAAAGAAAGGGGTGATCCTGAGTATTCCATTCAGGAAAACCCCAAAAAGCAAAGAAAGAAAGGGGGAGGGAAGGGGAAGGGGGGGGACTAAGCTCACGACAGGTTCCAATGAACCTTGAACAAACTTCGGTCGCTGCGACCACGTACGGCTTGCCCAAGGGCTGCCACCTCTGACCGCTGCGGTCACGTAAAGGCATAAGCCAACTTGGAATCCAAAGATGAGACAAAAATCTGAGTTCTCTCGGCCTAGGCCACCTACGCTCGCTGCGAGCTGCTCTGGTCCCGGGCGCAGGGACGAAGACAAACGCCCGTTCGACGGGTCCATGGGAGGCACTCTACGGGCTCATCCCGGGCTGGCACGAGGCCAGACACACTTAGGCACACGCCGGCCTAGGTTGCCATTTCCTAAGAGTACAAGAACGGACCACCGGATCCTGGAGGTCTTCAAGAGGAAAGGAGGCCAAAAGCTCGAGGCGAGGTCGAACCGACAAGCTGACGACGTAACGTGCAAGTCTGCAGAGTGGCAAGCTCAACTCAGCGAAATTAAAATTCAAGCAGGTACAGGTGGATGATCAGTCCACCCCTCCCTCGTCATACCGTAGCTTCGTTGCGTACGGTGGGTATGACGAGCCGTACGCCCCTGCTCAAAACTACAATTCCAAAGAATCCCTGTGACTACAAGGGGCACACACACACACACACTCGAGATAATGCGTAGCGAAGTGAATGTTTTATGCCACACGCCCAGTTGGGTATGAACGCCTATGGATACCAGGGACAAAGTATGTAAAGCGCTCTGACCTGAGAGCCTCCGCCTCCAAGAGCCCCAAAGTCTGAAAAGCGGTGAAAACTCGTGACTGCAGTGAAGGAACCGCTGCAAATGCCAGAAACTGTTTGAATTGCAGGGGCCCACTGGGCGGTGACAGGTAAAGCTGTGCTGCAGGTATACCTCGGAGTGATCAGCTCCGATATCCTGCCAAACTCATGAGTAGCTTCGTTGCCAGTAGACTCATGAGTGGGATACTGCCCCCGCTTGAAACAGAAGAAAATACCGACAGATCCCTTATGATTCCAAGGGTTTCACGCGCACACACGTCTCACTGAATGTGCTCAGAACGCCACGTGCTCACGTGCTCAGACTGGCGATTTGGTGTCTCGTCCAGAGGAGATGGGATGAGTTTAGAGGTTTTAGGATGGGAAAGTCAGAAAGGGTCAAACCCACCCCTTGTTTTGATTGATTTGTGGAAACCTGTTCGGCGCCAACATTTGGGTGTCCAAGTGCGCGCCATTGGGCCTTTCTTCCTCGCGTGCGCAGGACAATTTCATTCGCATGTGGAAACCTCGGTCCCAAGAGGCCTTGGTGCTGAGCAGGTCGGAACCAACCGCGGGAACCGAGCGAGCCGGGCGAGCCGAGCGAGCGTCTGGAGAAGTGGACGAGATCGCTCGGGTTCGCCAAAGTTGATTTGAGAAGGTTGATGTTGCCTCCAACCCAAGACGATGGCCGCCAACCTAAGAGCAATGGCCTCCAGACTACTAGCGATGGCCGCCAACCTAAGAGCAATGGCCTCTAACCTAAGAGCGATGGCCTCCAGACTACTAGCTGGCCTCCAACCCCAGACGATGGCCGCCAACCTATATGAGCGATGGCCGCCAACCTAAGAGCAATGGCCTCCAGACTACTAGCGATGGCCGCCAACCTAAGAGCGATGGCCGCCAACCTAAGAGCAATGGCCTCTAACCGAAGAGCGATGGCCTCCAGACTACTAGCGATGGCCGCCAACCTAAGAGCGATGGCCGCCAACCTAAGAGCGATGGCCGCTAACCTAATAGCAATGCCCTCCAACCTATAGAAGAGATGTCCTCCAACTTAAGAGCGATGCAAAGAGGGATGGCCTCCAACCTAGAAGCGATAGCCTCCAACCTAGAAGCCATGCCCTCCAACCTAAGAGCGATGGCCTCCAACCTATATGAGCGATGGCCTCCAACCTAAGAGCGATGGCCTCCAACCTAATAGCGATGGCCTCCAACCTAATAGCGATGGAGGCCAACCTAAGAGCGATGGCCTCTAAGCTAAGAGTGATGGCCTCTAACCTATTAGGGATGCCCTCCAACCTAGAAGAGTTGTCCTCCAACCTAAGAGCGATGGCCTCCAACCTAGAAGCGATAGCCTCCAACCCAAGTGCGATAGCCTCCAACCTAGAGCCGATGCCCTCCAACCTAAGAGCGATGGCCTCCAACCTAATAGCGATAGCCTCCAACCTAATAGCGATGGCCTCCAACCTAATAGCGATGGAGGCCAACCTAATAGCGATGGCCTCCAACCTAATAGCGATGGAGGCCTACCTAAGAGCGATGGCCTCTAACCTAAGAGCGATGGCCTCCAACCTAGAAGCGATGGCCTCCAACTTACCAGCGATGGCTTCCAACCTAAGAGCGATGGCCTCCAACCTAGAAGCACTGGCCTCCAATCTAATAGCGATGGCCTCCAACCTAAGAGCGATGGCCTCCAACCTAAAAGAGCTTTGACGAGGTTGATGTTGCTTTCCGTTGACTCTATTGACTATACTACTATACTGATGCGTCTGGAGCTGTCACTAGGTCACGTTCTTTCAATGTCTTGTTGACCCTTTCAATTCTTGGTTCCTTCAAATTTTGCAAGAGTCTCGAAATCTTTACAAGGTTCTGTGGGCTTTCTGATCGTGAGGCGTTTTCAAACGGTGTGCGAAGTGTCTGGCTCTCAACCTTTGAGATTCAGGCAATGCCTTTAGCAGCGGCAGCGCTCCGAGGCCCACCGAGGATGCGGATGATGTGATGGTCTATCCCAAGCTGCTTCCGTCCAAAGAAGTTTGGTTCCTTTTCTTCGATGTTGCTTGGCCAAATGTGGTGGGCCGTTTCATAAGGGAGGAGCCTTTTTTGTAGTTTTTGTTTGAGGTTTCGCAGACTTCGTTAAACTGCAGAATCGAATTGCAAGTGATAAATAGGCAGCGAAGATAGATGATTTCCAAGCGTGTTTATACAGTCAGTTTATACCAAGGTGTCCCGGGTTGGTTCGAAATGGGACGAGGTATTGTTCGTTCCGGAACTTGGCCCTTCACACGAAAGCGGAATGTGTTTCTCCGTGTGTTCTTTTTTGGAAGGGCAAAAGCTTTCGCACGCAAATCACTTTGAAAACAAATCGATGGCCTCCACCTAATCCCGAGTACCTATTTAAAAACGGACCCCAATTAAAAAAGTCATGTCGGATCCCCCTAATTAAGTACGGTTTATATTTGTTTATAAATTATATACCACCCTTAAAAATCGCTACTAAACTACCAACATGGCCGATTTTGGGGTAGGTCTTTTTAATTAGGTTCCAAAAACAACCGTAACTGCCCACCTTTGTCCACCCTGTCCATCCACCATGACACGCCGCGTTTTACACCACCAGGTTTTCCTTCCCCCAACGGCACGGACGCACGCAAACGCACTTGCCACCGAGGTCACGCAAAACCGCATCGCACAGCGACATCACCTTTTGAAAGCTTTAGTTGTTAGTCTAATGAAGAATCACCATTCTAATAAACATTTTTGTAGGGGAAAAGGAAGACCCTTCGATCTGGAGTTGTTTAAACAATAAACTCTTGATATGAGTTTAATAACGGACAAAGCAGCACTTTTTCCTGGGTGACTTTTTGGTTTTGAAGCTCTTCCCAGGTGACCCTATTTTGGACAACCCCGATTTCAAGGACCTCCTATTACCCGAGGTTTTCTAAATGGGGGGGGGCCGTGTCCTTAATAGGTGGAAAGGATTACTAGCATTTCTTTCGCACTTCACACGGTTTAACATGGCGCTTTCGCACCACACGACGGTCACTCCGTGCGCGTCGCTCGCGCTCCGTCCTGTCGAGGACCGTCGGGGCGCTTGGTGCATCGGTCCGGCGATTGGAGCCATTGAGATCTACGCCAAATGCTTTACGGTCGAAGAGGTGCTTAGAAAGGGCGTTGTTTTTGGAGATCCGGTTGATGTAAAGTTACAGGATGTGGATACCAGATAGGGACATTGTGGTAAAGATCAGGTTTGCATCTGAAATGGCCGGAAATCACGTGACACTTGCGATAGCAAGTCTTAAGCTCACAATCTGTCCAATTTTGGTGGTTGTCACCCAATGTGAGATTGTTTCACGAATTGAAGTTCGTTGGGTTTAACACTCAAAAGGGTTTTCTTGAGGCGATCCCCTGCAATCTGGGGGAGTGGCAAGTCTGGGATATTGGCAAGAAGGAGTGGTACACCAACAAGGCCGTGCGGCCGCGCCGGTGTCGTCGTCGTGTCCTTTTGTGATGTGCGGCAAACGTTCCTCTCGTCTTCGCTGTCAGTTTGAGTGATTTGGGTTCCTTTTGGAATGCGATGGAATACATATACTGCATGTTTGACTCTGTTCCGATATTCAGCCGCACTTGCAATTTAAATTGCTGGGACGACAGGACACATATCAGCATGTGTGCTCAAGAACCATGTTGGCCACGACACTGCAGATGTGTTGCAAACAGATCTCATGCGGAAAGTTTGCTGAAAAGCGCGAAATGATTTGCAGCAGGACCCATTCACTATGACATGTCAAGCCACATAAGCGCCTTACTCACAAGCACGCGTGTGAAATCGCTAGAGGACGTATGCTTACTATATTATAGTAGACAGGAGACCAGCGTGTCACGCGTTTTGCAGAGGTCATACACCCGAGATGGTTTCAACCAACGTCACCGAAGTCTTTGGCAACACGAGCACTGGCATGTCTGAAACCCTTGTGTGGCCAAGCTTGCTTAGAGCGCAGGGCATCCGACTCATCAAAGTGGGCTGATCCTGACGGACTGTGAGCTTGGTGCGCTTGAACACTGCTCGAATGAGATCCTGCAGCTGGTCCAAGATGTCACTCCTGCACAGGGCCCCTTTAGAAGCTACGGGTAGCAACGATGTGTTTTTTTGCTGGGAGTCAGAAGAAAAAACTATCAAGGGACCAAAAGGTCTAGCAGAAGGAAGAACGAGAGGAAGAAGTAGTGAAGAGCTGTTTCGATGACCTGAACTGCATGGTTTCCCATGTACACAGCATGGTATCTTCTCTAACTCTGGAGGATACTCCACACAGGTTTCGGCCGTGGCGAAACGTCACAGCCTTCTCTATGAGAAAGTGCCATTCAGATGTGAAAACCATTCTGCCTAGCCAATGAGATGATCTGATGATCGCTAGTCTTGTTGTGCAATCAACTCCACTGTCCACCGAGCCTTTCTTCCTGTTTTTTCATTGCTTCCTTTTCACAGAGATCTGGATGAATCAACACAACTGCCCAAGGCAACTCTCTGCGGAAAACGGGTGCGATCGGGACTGCGGTCGGTGGCGGCGCGGCGGTGCAGGCGGCTTTTGGGTGTGGTAGGACAGACCAGCGGTACGCACTCTGCACACCGACTTTGGCAAAACCTGGAGCGTGACGCTCCATCCGTGTCGGAATGTACACGCTTTCTTGTATGCTGAATAGTGTTACACGGAATCTTCACAACAAGTAATCACTCCATTTGAGTTGAGCTCAATGGAGATTTCTAGAGGGCCGAACTGTAGCATTCGAAACTATTTTTGGCAAGCGCTTTCATTTGCATTGTATGCGGCAGCACAGGAATGGAATATGTACAGTCATTTGAAGAGATCCACCAACCCATTTACCAGAATCCTTAGGACACAGAAGAGCAGACACCATGTCACTGGTTCTGATTTCGATCAATTTTGGCTCAAGTGGCGTGAGTGGGTATAGAGGCTCTTTCTTCATGGAACCCCAACACCGTGTAGCTTGACCCTCCAGGTAGGTCAGGCAAGGTATCCTGGTCTTGACGCGAAACGTTTTGTTTGTGCATGCACCGCGTACGCGGCATAATGGACATACCTTATCTGATTGAAGTCCAGATGCTGGCTGGTCAATGCGACTATGGCCACCTCAGCCATTTCAGAACTCTTGAGACCCAATGTGCTTCTCATGCAGAAACGAGAGGGACCCACCATCCGGTCAAACTAATTACGTGGGTACATGCAATCAATGAACCTCATCTCAGACAACAAGAGGCACCCCAACAAACCAGAAGACCACGATTGGACATCAGCAATATTTCTATACCCTTATTCAAGAAAAAACCCGAAACCAGTTGAAGATCTTCCCACAGTCATTCTGTGTCTTTGATTCTTCGTTTACCAAGCGCTCGCGTCCGGGTAGGGCCGGCCTTCATGGAGACTTGGCTTGCATGTCTAGTGGCTTTGCTGGGAACCGCCTGTGTGGCCGTTTTTGGAATGCGGTCAGCGCCTGAGATGTCCTTCGTCGCCGAGAATTTCGGTGGATTCGTTGGAGTGACCAAGGGCCTACCAGTCGCTGCGGCGGTGGCAAAGGAAGCAAGCACGTTTGGATACCATCAACAATGAGTATGACGCTTTGCAAGCTATGGGCGGTTCCAGAAACCTCAGTCAGGTTGGTTCCTTTCTCGCTGTAAAAGACATTTCATCCCAGCCAGACTTAGACGATCTTAGACGTAGTCGCTGAGGAGAATTTGCGATCGATCAGGACTTTTCTCGAAAATTTTTATTCAACCTCCGACTAATTGAATTTTGTATGATTTTTATAGTCTAGTCTTCCTGTGGCCAGTGGCATTGGATGTGGGGCTGAGCTTTTGTTCAACTTGATGGAGTGAGCCGTTGCAGGAAGGATGCTGTGTATCATCATGGATGGGCACAGTCCCGTGGTGAGTTCAAAGAAGCCCAAGACCACGAGGCGCCGACACCGCGACACCGGCCACTTTTGTCGCCCGTTCAATGTTTTCTTCTGTGGGGAAAAGTCGCTCAAATCTTCCATGTGTTCTTCCACGAGGCTCACGTGGAGGACATCGACAAGTGCATCCGGCAGCAATTCTCCGGTGAAACGAAGAGTCACGAAGAGGTCATTCTGATCATGATGGGTCACTCCTTGGCATTGCCATGATTCCCAAAACCGCTGAAGGATTCCTTCTCCTAGTCACGCGATCTTCTTTCGTACTCTCCGCAATCAAACAAGTCGCGGGTCGTCGTGGGTCTCGTGGCACGACGAGGTGGAGTTTAACAGCAACCTGTTACACTCAAACACAAACCTTTCTAGACCCTGAAGTCTCCAACCTATTAGCAATGGCCTCCAACCCTGTCAGATCCGCCAGGAAGCTGGCCATTCTTCGAGAGCAGTACAAAGCTGTTGAGGCGCACGACCCGGGAAGCAGCTTGGTGGCCACCATTTGGTGGGTTTCCCTAACATCCAGGAACCAAATCATTAGTGCGAGCGCTTCTTCAAGGAAGCTCCCCTGCCCTCAGGTGGGGGGAGCTTCCTTGAAGAAGCGTGGGCTATCCTGTGTCCAGTAGGTAGGAGCTTCCTATTGCTAGTAGCATAGGCCCTACTTCCTTACTCAATTAAGTAGGCGCTTACTTATATAATCAAGTAGGAGCGGGCCTTACAAGAAGGATTCCAGCTGACTGATCTTCCGGATCATCTTCCAGGTTTCAGTTTCCATATGAAACCAGTCCCGGACAGGACGGGCGGCTCGATGACTTCGCTGGAGTTGTGATCAATGAAGGATCCAAGGACAGGTTTCACAAAGTCTTTCGTCTGTCCGGACACCACCAGTCGACTGCTTGGCGAGCGACAGATATCCCAGGAGAGGTATGACATGTATGCGTTTTCGTTTAGACGTTTGATCGTCTACCTGGTACAACTGAGACATCTATCATCATTTATCTCAGTCAACCAGTTGCAGCTCTGGTCTTTTCTCGCTTCTCAGGAGAAATGACCTCTCAAGCGTTGAAAAGAAGATTACAGTGCTATGTTTCCGGGACGGGATTACAATGCCTGAGATGTCCAGCTTCATGAAGCACGAGCGTGATGCATGAGATTGAATTTGTGCATGCAGCTGATTAGTACATCATAGTCTTGTCAGACTCAAGCAAGCAAATTCAGCCCCAGAGAAAGGTAACTTCGTGTGAGTTGTTCCAGCTATTTGACTGGATGGTTTTGGCAGGGTGTCGACATGGTGTGAATTTTTTAGCTTGCAAGCACTAGAGAAGCTTGTTAAGTCACAGCACTGGCAATTTTGAAGACCCAAGAAGAACTTGCACAGATTGGTTAAATGTGCTTAACTTATGAGAAACAAAGAAAAACACCTGAGAGTCCTGAGAGCGAGAGCCATAGGCCCTGGAAAAAAGCTGAAAGATTGATCAAGCAAGGCTTGCCTCATGGTTTTAAAGAAGGGATGCCGCAAATTTTCGTGAGACAAGAAGAATTGGATGAGGCTGGGGACAGGGCTGTGGATGTTTGTTGAGATGTTCTGCTGTGACCAGCAAATAGCAAAGGGCTGCTGACAGTCCTGCATACTACAAAGGAGTTGGGTTTGACTCTTGATGTCAAGGGTGTATTCATGTCGCAGCACTTGTGAGGATGATGTGAGCGAGGAGCCAGTGTCGAACGCTTTAGACAGCTGAGCACGGAGCTTCACGCAACGGTGTTTAGCAGATTGAAGTATGTGGAAGTATATGTGGAAGTATTCACACTATTAGGTTGGAGGCCATCGCTCTTAGGTTGGAGACCATTGCTCTTAGGTTGGGGGCCATTGCTCTTAGGTTGGAGGCAATCGCTAGTAGGTTGGAGGCCATCGCTGGCAAGTTGGAGGCCTTTGCTTCTAGGTTGGAGGCCATCCCTCTTAGGTTGGAGGCCATCGCTGGTAAGTTGGAGGCCATCGCTGGTAAGTTGGAGGCCTTTGCTTCTAGGTTGGAGGCCATCGCTCTTAGGTTGGAGGCCATCGCTCTTAGGTTGGAGGCCATCGCTGGAAAGTTGGAGGCCATTGCTTCTAGGTTGGAGGCCATCGCTCTTAGGTTGGAGGCCATCGCTGG